TAAGATCGGAGCTTTATCAACATCACACGACCTCGTATGGTGTTTGGCATTGTGTTTTCCCTTTTATGATTATCATCATCATTATTATTGTTATCGTCATTATTGTTTATTAATATGATCACTGTTAATATCATTTATTATTATTATTATCCTTATTATTCATTATCACTATTATTTTATCATTACTATTATTATTATTATCATTATTACTATTATTATTATTACTACTACTGCTATTACTACTACTATTATTATCATTATCATTACTATTATTATCATTATTATTACCATTATTATTATAATGTTTATGATTAATACTATCGTTACACAGAATTGAGTGTGTGTGTATGTGTATTTATACATGCTTACATGTGTATGTCTGTTTAATGAAAACTTCTTTAACAACTAAATAAATAATTCACGCTAACTTTCTCATCGACGGACATATTCATTCCACAAAGTTTGACGAAAGTTAAGCCTCAAATTTACGAAAATGGCGTCATGTTAGAAAGTACTTTTAAGCTGCAAACTTCACTTGATGATGCGTTATGGATATTGAACACAGCAGAGAGAGAGAGCTATTAAAGGGGAAGGGAGGCAAATGTGTAAAGTAAGATAGAAAGAACTGGGTCGAGAGGATGAGGGAGAGAGAGAGACGAGAGGAGAGAGGAGGAGAGAGAGAGAGAGAAGAAGAAGAGGGAGAGAGAGAGAGGGAGGAGGGAGAGAGAGCAGAGAGAGAGAGAGAGAGAGAGAAGGTGAGAGGAGAGTGAGAGAGAGATTGAGAAAGAGAGAGAGAGAGGAGAGAGCAGAGAGAGAGAGAGAGAGAGAGAGAGAGAAGATGAGAGAGCGAGACGAGAGAGAGAGAACGGAGAATGAGAGAAAGAAAGTGACTGAGAGAAGAGAAGAGAGTGGAAGACAGATATGATAGAGAGAGAGAGAGAAGAGAGGAGAGAGAGAGAGAGAGAGAGAGAGAGGAGAGAGAGAGAGAGAGAGAGAGAGAGAGAGAGAGAGAGAGATCTGATTTTGATGAGAGAGAAGAGAGAGAGAGCTTGAGAGAGGAGAGAAAGCGGAGAAAGAAAAAGTGAGAGAGAAATGAGAGAGAAGAGAGAGAAGGGAGAGAAGAGAGAAGAGATCGAGAGAGAGAGCAGAGAGAGAGACAGAGAGAGAGAGAGAGAGAGAATAGAGAGAGAGAGAAAGAGAGAGAGAGTGAGAGAGAGAAGAGTGAAGAAGAGAGAGAGAGAGAGAATGAGAGAGAAGAGAGAAGAGATGAGGAGAAGAGGAGAGAGAGAGAGGAGAGAGAGAGAGAGAGAAGAGAGAGAGAGAGAGAGAGGAGAGAGAGAGATGGACCTGAGAGAGAGAGAGAGAGAGAGAGAAGAAGAGAGAGAGGGACCCTCCCCCATCACACACACACAGACAAA